TTCATGCAATTTTGCAGGAAAATCTTAACAAGCTTCACAGGGCGTTGATTGATACTGTTTCACAAATCGGAACCGTTAGCCCCAGCAGTGGATGAAGTTGCTGTGTTGCCGACGGAATTGTGGACGGAGGTCTTCTCCTATCTGGACACTGTGACGCAGAGCAAACTGCGCACTGTGTGCGCAAAATGGAACGCTCTTCTGGAGTCTGATTTTTTGAAGGCGGATATTGTTGTCGACGGCGCGGCACTCTCCTTTTCGGATCTGTGCGAACTTGGTCAGACCTATTTTACGATCGCAGCTCTCTTTAAGCGTCTTTCCCCATCCACGCACCATATTATCATCGCAAATCGAGGAGAGTGGTTGACAAATATTGACATTTTTAAAGTGCTGGATATTCTGAATTTCATCGCACTGCGCAATGCCGGCATCCGACTGAAAGCCATCTTCCTCTTCAGATTGCAGATATCTCTGCTGAGAAGCCAGGATAAGGGCAAACAAGGAACTCAGTGCCGTTATCACAAGAATCTTTCTGCATACGCCAGTCCTTGCCCGCTTTCCAGCCTCCCACGCGGGAATCTTCGGTGTGATGAAATCCATTTGATCCGGTGCAACATCACTGTGGCGCATGGATGGATGGAAGCTGAACGTGAAAATTATGAAGAGTCGACAGCGCATTAATGGCCGCTTAGACTACGCGCTGTGGAGTGCCATGGAAGCGGGGTTGTTAGCGCCAAGTCTCACGGAATTTCGTCGCTTATCGAACTGGTTAAAGTCCAAACCGGCGGATTACGAGGAGTTCGATGGAATACACAGCCATGATCTGCAAGGTAGCACTGCACCGAGTCGCCGACACATCAAAGTTATGCTCGATGAAAACATGGGTGCCTTTTTTTGCAGACACTGTGTGTGACGCAGACGGCGGATCCGCGTCCCTCGCTACATTACCGCGGGAAGAAGTGGTGCGTGGATGGTCTGCAGGGTTTAAATGTGGAGAAACTGTCGCGTTTGGCTATGCATTTCCTCATCCACTTAATGAACGCCTTGTCTCGCTAATGGTTCCAGATTCATTCCAGACCGAGACTTATTTATTTAACTTTTCGCGGATTTTTTGTTGACCCATTGTTCACTTAGTAACGAACTTATTACTAACATTATCTTTTAATTTTTAATAAATGTTTTGATTTTATCGAAAAGTTTCAGGAAAGGATGCGGTGTTTTTGTACCAGGTCGTTAATTTTGTATTCGATTAAACGTGTGTACGTAAATCAAATTATTAAAACGCTATACCAGTAACATGCTGATTAATTCTGCATTACGATGATTCAGTATGCAGAATATTACTGTCTGTCACGTAAAACTCCTATCGTTTTCAAAGGTAAACAACTTCTACGTTTCTGCATATACAGTTCTGCACAAGATTATTACGGGGGCCATTACTACACAGTTCAACACAAGATTAACATACGTTGTACTCGTATGTACGTGTACTGAAGAGTGGCAATTAAGAAATCATCCTAGCCAAATAGCCTTTAAAACATTAGCACCAGGTTGGCAATGGGCAGAAGTGCACGCTGCCAGTGCCAGAACAACTACAGCAAATCAAACTCCAGCTGATCGATCGAAACAGGAAAATCGAAATTAGAAACAGGGTATATAAAATCTATTTTCGTCCCATTCAAGCGACTTCGCTAGCATAATTTTGCCATATTAACAATTTTCATCCCGGTGCCCCATTCGTACTGTCCTTGCGCCGCTAACATTCATGAACGATATTTTTCCATCCGTGCTTTCCGTTCCAACCGTCGCGCATGATTTCGCGCAATAGAAAAGCATTGCTTAAGCACCCATATCAATCGATTTTGACAGACGTTTGGCGGCATAATCTGGCAAACGCTACACTTTTGACATAGTGAACACTTTGAAACAGCCGGATGTAATGCATGATATCATCGCAGAGGTGGCAGTTTAGTTTGTGCATTCCGCACGTGCGCTGGTACTGTGGTACAGCCCTAGTAAAGCGTAGAAAGTCATGGGACGTCGAGGAATGTTGCCTTTGTCGTTTGTTTGACGAATTTCGATTGTTAGACGCGAAGGTGTCGGCGCTGTTGTACGTGAGCCATTGCGGACTACTCCTTATTCATCACAATTGTAAGGCTTTGATTCGTTTAGAGACGGGCATTGAATACATTGTACGTCTAGCTACAGTGTCATGTCATTATTCTGTACATTAAACTTCGGCATCAAAAACAAACCTGTCTTGCACCTTAATCGACCATGTACAGCGGAATCCGATCATCCCGCAGTGTATTTACACTGCTGTTCTCTCCGATGACCACCAGTTACGTAACGGACGCGTCGTGGAACTAACGGACAATGGGCTCTTTATCGATTTCTTCCATCGCGATCAGCGCCGCGAATTCATCCCGTTCGACACCGTATTCCGCCGCAGCACGATACCACCTTTAGACGCAGGACATCTCGCCAAAGCCTATGCCGAAACATCTTCGTCGGTTCCCGTGGGAGTACTGCAGCGGAACAGCCCTTCCGGTGCGTGGACATGGTGTCCCGCTGATATCGTCAGTCTGCCGGGCGGTGCTGGACTGTTTTTCCCGTTTCTGATTGTTTCCGCAAACGCGAAATTTGTTACTTTGTATACACTACGCTTCACAAACCATTTGTGCCCGCAACTTCCGGTTGTTGAGTATGACGAATTACAGTAAGATAGACTTTTGGAGGTTCAGTATTCTGTTGCGCTCCGAAGTTCATTTTATCATTTTCCGACCATTTTGAAACCGTTCTTTATTGTCGGCACGTAAACTCTCTGGCCTTCGTTACGCTTCTTTACGAATGTTTGACCAATAAACTTTTTCAAACTTTGCAGACTTTTATCACATTGCTAAACCGTTGCTTATATATTACGTGCACTTCATCCGGAATCTGTTAGTTTCAAATGGCTAAAACACGCAATAAATAATAATATCTTACTAAAGTTCATAAATTCGTATCACATGACGTTGACAAAACGTAGTGCCTGTAGCCAGTTAGCAACTCGAAAGTCTGGGCATTCGAAACGTGTTACAGCAATTTTTTCAAAACAATTGATTTAATTTAAAAAAAACTTATTCTTATAAGGAAAAGTGGAAAACACAGCGCAAAATGTATCGCTCTGCTCCAAATCAAATAACAAGCACATCGAGCACAGGGCGGTGCGATTAGTGAATCAGACGAAAACATACGAGGAAAAATGAATCGGACAAGATCAGAGAAAGCAAGATATGTGATTCAAAATTCTATACAAAGTAAGAAGCAAAGCCTGACAACACATCCTAGCGACCAACGCTGTAGCCTTGGAGCATTCCTTGGAGCAGAATTGTGCATGTCATCGCATAGGGCACAATCGATCGACACTGGACACCAGTGCGATCCCTTCCCTTCCTTTTTACTCAGTTCATTAAGCCAATATGTAATATCTCACATAACCAACAAGATGTGATCTTCCGTAATCTTCTGCTCACTGTATGTACTTTCTTTTCATGATTTCTGTGTTTGCCCAGCCGCGTGCTTACTTTTTACGATTTCTGTTGTTTGTCTAGCCGTACTTAATGTGGATAGATTATACTGTACTAATGATTCTTCTTTACCAAATACACCATCTTCCGTGTAACCTTTGTTGTTTATTATGTTTTGGAATGTCAAATGCCTTGAGGGACAGTGTCCCGTTGCACAAGTGTTTCCGGTTGGATCAGCTACTTACTGCACATGTCGCCGACCATCATCGCGCCATCCACCGACGTCCAGCTTGATCACTGAGGCACGTTATGCCAACGCGTTCTGTGCCGGCGAACTCTGCCAGTGCACAACGGCCCCCCAGCATACTTCGTGTGGCCAATTTCATAGCGCATGACACATTTCACCAGGCACTCAAATGATTTGGGTCCGCCATGGACCGTTGACGTCTATCCATGGACCCGTTGGCGTCTCCCGCACCAGAATCCCTACTGCGACGACGGCCTGTTGTAGGTCATACAAATTCATCATATCCATCCGATTGATTGGACGGGGTGAGAAGATGCTGCCAAAAGGCGCGAATTCACAACCAGGATTCGGACAGAGCAGATCGACGAAGAGGCCATCGTATGCCACGTCCACTACTTTCCCGTAGCGCATCCGCTGATCGCTGCCCAGAATGTACACAGCGTTATCGCGTTTCGTAGTGCTGCACATGGTTGACAATTTCCACGTACAAAACTGGAAATGGTGTTTTGCCACTTAGGACGAGGAAGCAACTTGGGTGCACACTTAACAAAATCTGTCCAAAATCTGCACACATCTGTGTTGCCAGCCTGCAGCTGCAAGCTTTCTGGCAGCCACATTTTTTCCGGTAGCGCAGTGCGCACCGCCCATGCCGGTTGGCGATCACGTTATCCTGCCAGTCATACGCTGCATTTTGCCAGCGCTGCAAAAATGTAGATCCGCATGTACGACTTCTGTTTTGTACGGTAACATTAAATTTGATAGTTTTCTGAGGGCGCAAACAGAAACTAATTGCTTCTTTGACACTTTGCTTGTTTTAAAACGTCGAAGATTTGAATTGTCACATCATAGAATTGTGGCAATGATCCGAAGAAACCGACCGTGGAACACTGTAGACGTGCTGGGCGAGGACGGCCTGTTTCGTTACGGGCGCGTGGTGGATGTGGCGAACCACGGGCTTTACATCGACTTCTTCTGTCTCGGACGCCGCCGGGAATTCATCCCTTTTGAGGGGGTGTTCCTGAATGATGACGGCCGATACCTGGACCAAAACGACCGGGCCCGCACCAATCCTCCGCCTGAAATGCCCGCAGAGGTTCTGGTGCGCGACACTGCATCGGGCGCGTTTACCTGGTTCCCCGCGCAGTTAGTCGTGAGAGAAGTCGGCATCGCGCACTCCAAATACGCCGTGGCTGTTATTCAGCAAGGAAAACCTGAGAAGTGCGCAGATGTGGTTCCTGTGTCGCGTATTCGCTGGAAAAAGGAGTCCAGTGCGCTGCAGTCCCCGGTCGAGGCCGAAATCGGGAATCTGCCAAAGTGCGTGGCGAAAGGGAGGTTCGTCAAGCGCCCACTACGACTGCCGGAAAGTTGTCCCATACATTTAGTGACAGCCGCACTGAAGGAGCAGAAAAGTGGATCCAATTACCAGCATTGGTATGCTGCCCAAGCTGAGGCAGTGAACACTGCGGACGGCTGTGCAGTGTACATTCAGCGTCGATGCTCTGTTGCAGTGGAAAACGCTGTTGATCAATTTACTAAGGAATTGGTAAGGAAGGACGTGTTATGCTACGGTGCGTTGTCAATAGTCATGGGGTTTTGCAGGGCAATCTCAGCAGTTTTCACGACGCGTTATTTGGTTCCGTTTTGCGGATGCCAGAACCAGTAGTCCATATTTTAGAATCGGATGAAGTCGCTGTGTTGCCGACGGAATTGTGGAGGGAAGTCTTCTCATACCTTGACACGGTGACGCAGACCAAACTGCGCACTGTCTGCGCAAAATGGAACGGTATTCTGGATTCCGCTGGATTAGAGGAGCATATTGTTCTCGACAGCGCCGGACTCATCTCGTCGGATCTTTGTGAAGATCTTGAACGGACCTATTTTATGATCGCAGCTCTCTTCAAGCATCTGTCCCCATCCACGCATCACATTATCATCGCTGATCGAGAAGATTTTTTGACGGGAACTGAAATTACGAAATTGCTGAATATTCTGAAATTCATTACACTGCGCAATGCCGACATCCGGCTGAAAGCTATCTTCCTCGTCGGGCTGAAGATGTCTCTGCTGGGAAGCCCGTATGATCACCAACAAAAATCTAAATGCCGGTATCATCAACATGTTTCTGCTTCCGCCAGCAATCCTTGCCCGCTTTCCACTGTGCCACGCGGAAATTTTCCGTGCGATGATATCCATTTGATCCGATGCAACATCACTGTGGCATGCACGGATCGATTGATGCTAGACGTGAAAATTATGAAGAGTCGACAGTGCGTTACTGGCCGCTTAGACTACGCGCTGTGGAGTGCCATGGATGCGGGAATGTCAGCGCCCGGTGATACGGAGTTACGTCGTCTCTTCAACTGGTTAAAATTCGAAAAAACGAAACACGAACTGGTTAAAAGTCCAAATTCAATGCCAGATGATTGGAAGAAATACACTGCTATGATCTGCAAGGTAACACTGTCACCGATACATCAAACACTACGCTGTACGGAAGCATGCGTGTTTTTTGCAGACACTGTGTGCGACGCAGACGGCGGATCCGCGTCCTTCGCTGCATTACCGCGGGAAGAAGTGGTGTGTGGACGGTCTGCGGTGTTTGAATCCTGAGAAGCTGTCGCGTTTGTCACTCCATTTCCTCAACCTATTGATGAAGGCCTTGCCTTGTTAATTGTTTCGGGTTGCGCTCGTGCCGGACCATGTACAGGCTTTGTAGCAGTGCGTGCTCCCGAGATTAATCTATTTAACTTTTCGCGGATGTTTTTGTTAAAATTTAATCTTTGTTGGCTTTGTTAAGTACATGTTACTAACATTATCTGTTAATTTTTAATAACTTTTTTAATTTTATTTCTTGATTCACGGTCCCAGGAAATGTTACGCTGAATCTGCTCGTCCAACTTATGAAGTCCTTGCCTCACTTGAGTGAGGTTGTTCTTGGTCTTGATAAACCGGTTTACGTGGCTGTGGGCTCGTTTCTTGACTGAACATAACTACCACACAGCTAGCAGTTAAACTACGTATTTCGCGGATATATGGACTTCCGTGAATTCCTCTTCCTGACTGGCTTGTACGTATTAGTACAACAAGAAAATTTCTACGCTTCCAGTTCTTCCATATGCAGTACTGTACATCTTTGCTTGCATGTAAAGCTTATCGGAATGCCAACGCCGTAACTGGCAGGAAGTCGGGAGCTACCCGCTGTATTTTCTTTAACGAAATTATTGCAGATTTACCGCAAGCGCGGACAGAAACCACCTAAACCGTCGCAATAGATTCCTCCGAAATATTTAGATCACTTGTATCAGTTGTGTGTGCCCATATAGGCATATACCAGTAGCGTAGCACGCTTTCTAAAACCGTTTTATGATTTATGTTTTCCTTAATCTGCAGTACTACGGTGGCGTCGATTCAGCGGGTCTATCCCCATTGGCCGCTATGAAATACAGGTCAAAAGTGGCCAGCGTCATAAACTAGTACTGTATTATGACCAATGACCACGTCGTTCCGCTTCTGCTTTGTTGTTGCTCTACATTAATCATTGCTCTACGATACGGACCATACGGTGTACAGTGAAGATCTTATTTACGCAGCAAATTTCCTCCTTGTACCGTTGTACGTATTATTCGTTTCGACTTTGACAGATTTTATCCGTGTGCATTGCAGCCCGTTGTGCTCGTCCTCAATAGCAGAACTACGCTTTCAAAATTGTTGCCTAAAATCGCCAACTATGCTGAGCACTACGAAGCACGATAACGCTGTATACGTTCTGGGCGGCGATCAGCGGATGCGCTACGGGAAAGTAGTGGACGTGGCGAACGATGGTCTCTTTCTATGTCCGAATCGAGAACGTGAATTTGTGCCTTTCGGCAGCGTTTCCCCCCTCCCCTCCCTCCCCCCGTCCAGTAAATCGGAAAGAAGCGAGGATTTTTCATGCTACAACCTAGCCTTCGTCGCGGTGGAGGTTTTGGTGCGGGAGACGCCTTCGGATCCCTGGATTTGGGTGCATGGTTACCTACGCTATGCACGACAAAGCTGGCCTCATGAAGTGTGCGGAGGGGCCGTTGTTCGCTGGCGGAGTTCGCACACGGGACTGCACTGCTCCGACATCGTTCCCACGAAACGCATTCGACAGCCTTGCGATCTGCCTGTTTATCTGCGGCTGACTGAGCAGCATAAAGCGCTGGATGCGGAAAACACCAACGGGCAGGGTTCGGCTGCTGACCTCGAAGTGCATCCTTTGCTTCATGCCCGCATCCAGCAGAGGAATTTATCGGGCGCATTTGTCACGCGTAATGTGGATGTAGGTAAAGAATTCCGCTCGTTGACCACGGAAGAAACCAAAGCGCTCGTTAAACGTTTAACGTGAGATCGCAGCTCTTCAATCGTTAACGATTGAAGAGCTGCGATCTCAACTTCTACTCGCCTGTTTTCGTGGTGAACCTCGATGACGGGAAGTTGAAATTTGAAATATGTTTACCAGCTCAGTGCTAAAGAGATTTCTGATCAAAGACACACAGCACAGTTGCAGGTACTGAGAGAAGCTCCGTTACGTCAACCGTTTTTTGTAGCAGGTTTTGAACGGTTTTCAGGGAGATATTGACCGCTTCCATGAAAAGTTGGTCGGCATTGTCAAATATCTAAAAGAACAGGCTCCGGTAGCTGGCGACGGGATAGCACTGCCGGCGGAACTGTGGCAGACGGTCTTTTCCCACTTGCCAACCATGGCGGAGACGAAGATGCGGACTGTGTGTGCGAAATGGAACCACATTATGGATGCGGCAGCGCTGCGTTCCACGATGGTCATCCGCAATGACGATTACACCCAAAGAGATTACGATGATTGTCTCAGCTTGGCGACTGTGCACAAACGCTTACGCCCAGGCACGGAACGCGTTGCCATAACGAGCCTCAATGACCGAACCTGGACGTCGGCGGATGGCGTGATGATGGTAGGCGACATAATATGCAGTATGTTGCTGATCAAACCCGAATTCGACTACCTAGCGTTCATTTGCGCTGCGTCAAACTGCAACTAATGATTTACGGCGATGTCACTAGTGCGTACACGGCCGGTGCAGGCCGCCATCTCGATTTTATTCGCAGGCCAAAGCCAAGTGCAGAGTGCATTTTAGAATACAAGGGTTACTATCTTTGGATGAAGGAATTCATTGCCGGATGCCGCAGTCTTCCGTGCGACGCATCTACTTCGCGATTGTCCGGTTTCATTGGTGTACAGCTCTCACATGAAATCGGATTATCGGTGGTCAACGGATAAGTTTGACGCGGAGATTAAAAATCGACATGCGCACCGCGCAATTACAGATAGGCGGTGATTTCGGCAGCACGTTGTGGGATGCGCTGGAGTCAGCTCTGCCGATTCCGAGTGCGCAGAAGCTCCAGCGGCTGCAGCAGCGGTTGCAACCGCACGGAAGGGATGAGGAAAACCTTATAGTAGTTGTCTGCAAGGTACAAATGCTAGCTGCAATTTACTAAAACTCGTTCTGCAACGACTTAGAAATTACTCAGCAGACATTTTGGTCTACAGATACTATGTGCGGTACAGTCGTGCGATCCTCGTCCGTCAGCGCATTGCCGCAGGAAAAACTGGTGTGTCGATGGTCTGGGAGATTTGCAGTGGGAGAAATTGTCTCGCATTACCCTACACTTTCTCGTTGAGGTTCAGAAGAAGACGGCTCGGAAGGGAGGTTGCACTGTGCGATGACATGCACAATGCGCATTCTTGGATAATTTTAGCAATAGGCGCTAGGATGTGTTTTGTCAGGCTTGCTTCTTACTCGTATAAAATTGTTTGGAATTACATGTTTTGCTTTTCTCTCAGATCCTATCTGATTCACTTTTCTCCTAGTGTTTTTGATAATTCAATAATCGCCCTGTGCACAATGGACCTGTTATTTGGGTACGAAGGTGTAGGATATGCTTTATACTGGGTTTTCCTTATAAAATCAAGTTTCTTTTAAATTTGTGTAACATGTTGCGAATACCCAAATTTTTTAAGTTGATACACTACCTACGTCTTCTTAACATAGCGAATCTAGCTTATGGATTTATCAACTTTTCGTAAAGATAAATTATGTAATTATCGAGATTAATAAGATTATTAGTTTTCTGTTTCTTTTTCCATCTGAAACTAACAGTTTCCAGAAAAAGGGCACGGAATATAACGGCAAGTTCGGCAACGGTTTCGTTCAGAAACTGCAATTTGATAACCTCTGATAGCGAATTTACAAGTCGGCAATGTGTCGGGTCAGAAATTTGTAGAGAAACGAAACGAAGATCAGAGAGGGAGAACTGCAATTTCGTCTACAGTATCAGTAAAAGAGATGGAAGTCAACCAAATCTAAACGATACAGTAATTTAACTACAAAACCTGAGAAAACAGCGACAGCGTTCACTACGGCCTGGCATACTGAGCAAGGGCGACTGCTAGGACTCGAACTGTTCACGCCCGAATCAAAATCCATTATCCGTTGCAGTTCCCTTCCAGTTTTGTAGTTTAACGAACAAATGCCGAGTAATCCGCGACAGCTTCTTCCATTGCAGATCTTGCAAGCCGTTTGCGCCCACGCTCCTATTTCTTCGCGCGGTAATGCGATGACAGACGCGGAACATCCTGATGCGCCTCCCAAAGTACCTGCAATGGAAGATTTCAGAACGCAGTTTTCAAAAGTCATAAATAGGATGAATCAAGGGTCACTGCCTGTTTTACCTTGCAGACGACAGTACCGCTGCTGATCAGTTGGTACCATTTAGAACTAAATCGTCGCGTGCTGTGCACTAAACGACAGCCGGATATTTCAAAGTACCAATTAGTAGTACAGTGCTTCACTGCATGCGTACGGAATGTGGATATGAGCGCGCGCGACCATTAAATTTTAGTCCTAAATTTTAACACGGGTAGTGCCACTCCAAAGCATCCCAGAATGCAGTCGAAACCGGCCCAGATCGTATAAGGTCGTAGGACGCGGGTGCAAATGCAAATTCACGCGAGCGGTGCAAATTCACGTCGCCGATTCGGACAGAACAGATCGACAAAGAGACCATCTTCTGCTATTACGGATTTACGACTACTCGTCTGCAGCGCATGCGTTGATCGATCCTAAACGTTCACGGTGGTATTGAGATTGTCGTGCGAGTGCATGGCCTATGTCGGACGGTGCTAATCGCAAAATGATTTTGGCACCTTTTAACTTCTTGATACTCGATACGTACTGTATTTAGCAAGTTTAAGAGCCACAAATAAGTCCGGGTGCGCGCAGAATATCCGACGGCTTTTTTGAACTTCAAAGAAGCCGCGCGCTATTGTTTACGGCTTCCGCCCTTTTGGTGGCTCTTAAACTTGTGTAAATACAGTACTCGAGTAGGGAAAGAAACAAATCCTGATAAGCTTAAGCGAGAAGGTAAATAAGTACAGATTAGAACTACCGAAAGTAATGCCTAACCAACAGAAGATGAGAACTATACTAGGCGTTCTAAATAAACCTTTTTTCGCGGTATGTACAGATACAAAAAAGGCTTCGCCCAGGAAATTCAATCAAATGAATAATTATGATTTATCCCCATTAACACAAACGGAAGTGTTACGGGACCTACCGGGTGTCTGAACAAAATGACCGTCTGTTTTATCATGGTGCGCTGGATCCGTCCTGCACTTAATTGACGTTGTCCGAGTTTCATTCAATAGAGCATTGCTTTCAACACAAGAAAGTTAAGTAAAGTCAAAATTACCATAAGGCTGAAATTTTTTATGAATTGTTTTGTAAAACTGGCTGGGTTTGGACGATGTCCTAGAAGCAAAAATCTAAAATTACCCGTTTCTAAATTAAAAATTTTTGCTATTCAACTAACGACATTAATGTACTTTATTTTACTGTTTCTGGTAGAGGGGTTGTTTCTCGTTTTTTACTGTAAGAAACTGCAGTATTCTAGCAACCGTGCTTGGCCAGTGCGCTGAATAACAGACTCTGCACGAGTAATTCTTGTGAAACCGGCAAACAAAGTTTTTGAGAGCAGATTTCTAACCAGCGCTCTAAAAGCTTCCCTGGCTAAATTTCTTTTCTGAAAGGGCAGTGTGTTAGCTACATGTCAAAGTTAAATTCGCATTTTTCGGTACAACCTGCGATGCAGCCAAAAATTTTAACCAAAAATGCTCGAAAATGCCTAACAAAAAATCGACATTTTTTGGAAAAGTCACAGTGTGTCATCACTGCATAACCCGTTCAGCATATGCAGCATGTCCGCAACTTTTTTTTTTATTGAGAGAAAACATGTTTTGCTAAATGAAGCAGTTGAAAATGTTCAAAAAGTCCGAAAGCGGAAAAATGGCACAAGATTTTATGTTTTGTGAGCTGGGACAAGAAACATTTCAGACGGTTTCATTTGGCATCGTCGCAAACGAAGACGGCCTAATTTTTTCAAAAACTATTTTAAAAATTGTGTAGCTAATAAAATTCTCTATCGAATAAGCCTAAAGAATTTACGGTGCGACAAAGGGTCTGCGAGAAACAAACAAAAACAGGAAACTGCCATTTTGTTCAGCCACCCGGTAATTATTGGAAGGAAGGAAATAAATTATCATAAAAAGAAAATAATTATTAGAAGACAAACTACTAAGAGATAAAACTGTTTATTGGTAAGATAAAGTTGAATTACTGTTGCTAATTAATGGAAAATAAGATACTTACTTAACGGTTGTTACTTAGCGTTAGCGCGGTAGAGACCGCCCATGTCGGATGGCGATCACGTCATCCCGTCAGCCTGACTCTGCGACGCTGTGATCATACGAGTACAGTAAGTACTTACCTGCGTGGCGTGCGTGCACTCAGGAACTTTCAAATGTCGAACACTTTACAGCATTAGAAAGCAGAACGGAGTTCTTATCTTGATTCTTATCGCCTAGTTTATTTTACGATTAATACATTACAGTGCTATTTGTTTTGGACAAATTGTCCGAGCAGCCTGCCTTTCCCGTGCAAAAAGTGAGTGATGGTAGTCAGCTGGATTTGAATTCAGCAGGGTTTCGTTTTAGGTGTTGGAAGTTGGGGACTTCCATATTTTGATTATCGTGATTTCTTTAGAAATCAAGGATGATTCGCGATGCTAAAACTTTACTTTAAAGTAGTGTTACCTTCAAGAGCTTCTTTATCAGAGTTCCTGAAGAGAAAGTCAGCTGTACGCTGGCTTGCTGTGTAGACCTTGCAGAGTACTGACTAATTTTTATGATGCATTTAAAACAGTTTCGTTCTTGATTCAAGGAAGAGCAACTTAAGAAGCCCTAGAACATTTCTAGCTGTCGACAATGGCTGTGGAATCCTTCTCATGGAATAGCGTGAACGTCTTGGGCGACGACGGTCTCTTTCGTTACGGACGCGTGGTGGATGTGGCGGACCAGGGTCTTTACATCGATTTTCTCTGCCCCAATCGCCGACGGGAATTCGCCGCTTTTGATCGTGTTTTCCTTCTGGACGACCGCCGATACTGGTACAGCAGCGATATGGTTAAGGAATATCCCACGCCTGAATTGCCCACACAAGTCCTGATGCGCGAGGCGTCCGGTGCCTGGACGTGGTTCCCCGCGGAGTTACTCATTCCGGCCCGTGATATCGCGCTCGCCCACTACAGCACGGCTGTCGTTTATCGCGGGGAACCGCGGGAATATGCGGATGTTGTTCCCATGGCGCGTATCCGCTGGAAGGCGCCCACGGATGGGCGGAGACCTCCTCCGACAGCTTTGCCACGAGTTGGGAAATGGACCTTTGTGAAGCGCAGTGTTAAACTGCCGGATGGATCTCCGACGGAATTAGTGAAGGCAGCGGTGAAAGACCGTAAAAATGCGGTCTTAATGAATTACTACTTCGACTGGTTTGCTGTCAAAACTGTGGGAGTGGCGGTTGTGGACGGCTGTGTGGAGTACATTCAACGTCGTTCCTGTGCTGTAACGGGACCCGACGGTATTCATCCGGCAAAAGAGCTGGTAAATAACCACTAGTTTTGCTGCAGTAATTGTTGAGTTGTAATTTTTACGGTATTACATTTGCAGAAAATTGTAAAGCGCTTTCATGACGTACTACTGAATTCCGTTTCACTGATGCCACAACCGCAAGCTCGGATTTCAATATCAGAGGAAGCAGACGCTGGAGTCGATGTACTGTCAACGGACGTGTGGGAGGAAGTCTTCTCACATCAGGACATTATGACACAAGCCAAAATGCGCCGCGTGTGCGCAACATGGAACGCCATTCTGGATTCGGCTTCTTTGATGGCGAATTTTGTCCTCGACAGCGCGGCATTGACCGAGGCAGACGTGTATGGAGACATTAAGCCGGTGTATTTTCTGATCTCTGCGCTCTTCAAGAACCTGAATTCCTCAACGCAGCACGTGGTGGTGGCTGACCGCGGACGGTGGATGAGAGAAAGGGACATTGTGGAAGTGTGCAACACCGTGAATTTCATTGTTCAGCGCAGTGCCGGCATCATGTTGAAGATCGTTCATTTGTTCGGGTTGAATTTCCGTTTGTTGGTTTCTTCGTATGACGACCATCTGAAATCGCAGTGTAAACCGCATCAGGTTCCCGTTTCCGACGACACTTCTGGCGCATCGACTTCCATCATGGCATGCCGTAGTCTGCCGTGTGAGAATATCCAACTGGTACACTGCACTGCCACTTTTGAGTGCGTCATCTCCACCCGGTATCATCGCCCGGATCCGTTGAAGCTGTCGGCCGCGTTCTCAGTGTATCGTCAACGTCTTACCGGCGATTTTCGCGGTGCGCTGTGGAGCGCCATGGAAGCGGAACGTGCGGAGTTGAGTGACGAGCAAATGCATCGCCTGTCTGGGTGGTTGACAGGACTTCAAGCACGCGTTCAGTTAACGAAGCAGGCAAGACGATATCTGGCCATGGTCCGCAAGGTAAGACTGCGTAGGTCAGCAAACGTGGAAGCGTCAACGGAAACTGTGTGTTCTTGTTGCAGACCCTGTGTGCGACGCAGACGGCGGATCCACGTCCATCGCTGCATTACCGCGGGAAGGAGTGGTGTGTGGACGGCCTGCAGGGTTTGGAAGTGGAGAATTTGTCGCGTTTGGGGCAGGATTTCCTCACCCAACTGATGAGTGTATTGCCTGACTGTTTCTTGTCTCCATAGTGCTGAATCCCGTAGCAGTTTGGTTAGATTCATCATGAAATTAATTGTTAACAATTGCTACATTTTATTCTTTTGTTGCCGATGTGTGAAACTGAAATTCTGGGATCAATCTATGCGGTGTGTGGCGGAAATTAATATAGCTCCTCTGGATAAATTTTATTTAATGTTGCTAATTGTTTTGTAATCGTTTTTGTTTTGCCCACAGTTTGTTAACGTCTGAAGGATACGTAAGCAGTTGTGTTTTTACGCCCATTTTCAAATTGCATTGCTTTTTTTCTTATCAATTGCTGCTAAAATCAATTGTTTTTATTTTTTCGCATTAAAGTCTGGTCGCTAAAAACGTTGTGGCAGGTTGACCGTGAAATCGATGCCGCGATACCAGTTGTTGAACTGATGGTATTGTATTTCTGGTGAATTTTAATGCGCATTTTATGGACAATATTTATTTTTATATTAAACGGAACTCCTGCAGTGTACGTAGTGCTGAACATGGTTGACAAATTGAAACCACAAATGGGAAGCGTGTTTTGCTACTTAGGACGAGGAAATGGTTGGGGTACTATACACACTGCAACACTTAAAAAGAATATGTCCAGAATTTAAAAAACACATTTCAAACGAACATTTGGTACAGTACAACCAACCGCTTTACAACAAAGAATGATGTGCTGCCAGTGCCTGCCACTGCATGCGTTGCGTGTACTAACACCTGTACTACCATGTACAAACATGGTACTGTAGTACAGTATGTGTGTGACAGTCTGTACAGTGTACACACGTTGCTTTCTGGCAGCAGCGCACTTGTATCGGTAGCGCAGTGCACATCGCCCATTCCGGTTGGCGATCACGTTATCTTGCCAGCCGCACGCTGCGTTTTTTGCCAACGCTGTAAAATTGTAAATCCACCTGCAGCAAAATTCTCAGAATTTTTCTACGGTAACATTGGATATTTTGAGAACGCAGAGCGAAGCGACTTGCTTTCTTGCCACTTCTAATTTTTTCAACGTTAAAGATTTGTATCGTTACGTCGTAGATTTGTGGCAATGATCTCAAGAACCCGACCGTGGAACAGTGTAGACGTGCTGGGCGAAGACGGACTGTTTCGTTATGGACGCGTGGTGGATGTGGCGGACCACGGGCCCTTTATCGACTTCTTCTGCCCCGGACGCCGACGAGAATTCATCCCTTTTGAGGGAGTATTCCTGAATGATGATGGGCGATACATGGACAAGAAAGACCGGGCCCGCACCAATCCTCCGCCTGAACTGCCCGCAGAAGTCTTGGTGCGCGACTGTGCATCGGGTGCGTGGACGTGGTTCCCCGCGCAGCTAGTCATGAGAGAAGTCGACATCGCGCATTCCATATACGCCGTGGCTGTTATACAGCACGGGAATCCCGAGAAGTGTGCAGTTCTGGTCCCAATGTCCCGTATCCGCTGGAAAAAGGAGGGCAGTGCGCTGCAAACCCTTGTTGATGCCGAAGTCGGGAATCTTCCAAAATACGTGGCGAAGGGGACGTTCGTCAAGCGCGCTCTACAGCTACCGGAAAGTTGTCCCATACATTTATTGACAGCAGCACTGAAGCAGCAGAAAAGTGGAATGAATTATCAGCACTGGTATGCTGCCCAAGCCGGATGTGTGGACATTGCGGACGGCTGCGTGGTGTACATTCAGCGTCGATGCGCTGTTGAAATGCAGCCCGACAGTGTGCATTTGACTAAGGAACTGGTAAGAAAAGACAGGCTGTCCTATTGATTCATATTTACCAGCACCGACATTTATTCGTGCATTTTCGTAGGAAAATCTGAGCAAGTTTCACAGCGCGTTGATTGATACTGTTTCACAAATCTCGGAACCGTTAGTCCAGATTTCAGCAGTGAAGGAAGTCGCTTTTTTGCCGACGGAATTGTGGACGGAAGTCTTCTCACACCTGGACACGATAGCGCAGACCAAACTGCGCCCTGTCTGCGCAACTTGGAATTCTCTTCTGGATTCGGCTTTACTGAAGGCAGATACTTTGCTCGACAGCGCGGCACTCACCTCGTCGAAACTGTGCGGACTTGGTCGGGCCTATTTTATGATCGCAGCTCTCTTCAAGCATCTTTCCCCATCCACGCGCCACATTATCATCGCAGATCGAAAACAGTGGTTGCCGCATAGAGACATTATGAAAGTGCTCAAAATTCTGAACTTTATTACACTGCGCAGTGCTGGCGTCCGGTTGAAGGCCATCTTCCTCGTCGGACTGAAGATGTATCTGCGGAGCAGCCCGTATGAGCACCAACAAGGAACTCAATGCCAGCATCATCAACACCTTTCTGCTAACGCCAGCAATCCTTGCCCGCTTTCCAGCCTCCCCCACGGGAATTTTCCGTGCGATGATATCTACTTAATACGTTGCCGTATCACTGTGGAATACACGAGTCGATTGAAGCTGGAGACGAAATTTACGAAGAGTCGACAGCGTATTACGGGACGTTTAGACTACGCGCTGTGGAACGCCATGGAAGCGGGGTTGTCAGCGCCCAGTGGCACGGAATTGCGTCGCTTATCTAACTGGTTAAAATTCCTATATATAAGATTAGATCCAGCGTTCAATGGGAATTCGATGATCCGCAAGGTAGCACTGCGGCGAATCGCCGACACATTCCAAGGCTATGCGCTTTACGACAACATGGTTTCTTTTTTGCAGATACTGTGTGTGACGCAGACGGCGGATCCGCGTCCCCCGCTGCATTACCGCGGGAAGAAGTGGTGCGTGAACGGTCTGAAGGGTTTGAAAGTGGAGAAACTGTCGCGTATGGCCCTGCATTTCCTTATCCAACTAATGAATAACTGGCCTTTCTAAGTGTTCCAGATCCTTGCTAAACCGAGATTTGTTTTCTTAATTTTTTGCGGATTTTTTTGTTAACTCATTGTTCACTTTGTTACGAACTTATTACTAACATTATCTGTTAATTTTTAATAAATTTTTTGATTTCATCCCCGTCTCAGGAAAGAATGCTTGCGTTTATGTATCAGGTCGTTAATTTCGTATCCGGTTATATACTTTATGTAATGTACGTGTACGTAAATCCAAATTATTAAAGCGCTGTAACCAGTAATGCGCTGATTGAGTGTGCATTACGATGATTTAATACGAACACGATTACGGCATCCTTTGCAGTATGCTAAACTTCTCTTTTTCAAAGCTGAACAACTTCTCCGTGTCTGTATAGGGGGAAATCGATAGCATACTATACACCTTCCCTGTACTGCTCCAGTCATCCGTATGGATTTCCACGTTATGGCTGAACAGGGATTTTTAAAAGCACTGCATTTATACCTGCACACTGATGCAGGTACATGTACCGTGTAAGGCGGGCCGCGGTAGTGATAAATATATATATATATATAAATATATAAATATATTATATCTATATAATCAACAAAGTGCTGCAGTCAGTGCAGTGACAGTATAATTTGCATTTTGCTGTGCGTCGCGCAGGCAGAATCCTGGAAACGTGTACAAATCTGGTTCAAAAAGGCACATTTAACACTTAAACTGATTCCCGCCATTTATTCTTCATTTTGCAACCAACGTTGCGCAGAAGAAGCCACTTTTTCGCCCAAAAATCGAAAATCAAAAGGATGGAAGATTTCGAAAACTTTCAAAATTTGAGCCAAATCACGGTGCCACTCCGGGCGGTGCCACCTGCGTCACGCGCCTGAAGTCCATAAAATTCGTTTTTCTAACGTTTAACTCTGAGGTCTTTGTGAATCTTCATGTAAAAAACAGGAAAGAGATTTTCCAGGAATACAGGGCAGTTTGAAGGTAATCACTCATGCGCATTTCGAGATACGCTTGCTAAAGCGACTTTACAGCAATCAATGTGGAGGTATAAATGTGGCGCTTTTAAAAACCCCTGTTTAGCCATGACGTGGAAATCCATACGAATGACTGGAGCAGTACAGGGAAGGTGTATAGTAAGCTATCGATTTCCCCCTATATGTACAGTTCTACATATTTATATATACTTGCATAATCATGTAAAATACACACACTCTATCTGTACTTCGCTTTGACCATTATTTCGAACACTTGCACTGTATGGATCAATGTTTCTAACACTCGGCCGAGTAAACAGCCGCTTTACCCGGCGACTACTTGAACAGGATAACTGAAATGTCTATGCGTTACGTAGGCTGCAGCATGTAGGACGCAGTGTAGCATGTTAAGGCCGACTAAATGCGCCGACTGAAATGCCGAGTGTTAGACTCGCAGACCAACACGGGCAAAAGTGTGTGGTGAGTGTTAGAAATATTCGTGCAACAGTGCAACAGCAAGTCGAACAGTGCAACCGTACGAAATATCGGTCAAAGCGAAGTACTCGTATTTACGTGCACTGACGAGTGGCAATTAAGAAATCATTTTAGCCAAATTTGCCGTAAAAACATTAGCATTACTTAGGTAGGCAAAGGCATACATGATACGTAAAATTTTCATCCCATTCAAGCAATTTCGCTAGCAAAATTTTGCCATATTTCTTAACAATTTTTATCCCGGTGATCCATTCGCACTGTCCTGGCGCCGCTTAACGTTCATGAATTATTCTTTTCCATCCGTGCTTTCCGTTCCAACCGTCGCGCATGATTTCGCGCAACAGAAAAGCATTATTTAGGCACCCGTATTGATCGATACAGTAGACAGACGTGTGTCGGCATAATCTGGCAAACACTACACGTTTCGGCACAGTGAACACTTTGAAACCAGCCGGAAGAAATGCATGATATCATCGCAGAGGTGGCACTTTATTTTGGGCATTCCGCACGTGCGCTGGTACCGTGGTACAGCCTTTAAGCGTTGAAAGTCATGGAACGTCGAGGAATGTTGCCGTTTGTTGCCATTGTCGTTTGTATCAGTATAATAAATCTCGATTGCTAGACGTGAAGGAATCGGCGCTGTTGCGCGTGAGCCATTGCGGACTACTCCTTATTTAGCACAATTGTAAGGCATTTAAATCGTTTAGAGGCGGGCATCTAATACATTCTACGTCTAGCTCTAATACAATATGTCATGTGATTATTCTGTACATTTAACTTCGGCATTGAAAAAGATGACTTTTCACCGCAAAATAGATCATGTATAACGGAATCCGCTCATCCAGCAGCGTGGATGTTCTCACTGACGACCACCAGTTACGCTATGGACGCGTCGTGGATGTGACGGACAAGGGGCTGCATATCGATTTTCTCCATCGTGACCAACGCCGCGAATTCATCCCGTTCCACCGCGTGTTCCGCTGCAGCACGACACCACCTTTAGACGCAGAACATCTTGCCACAGCCTATGCCGAAACATCTTCATCTGTTCCCGTGGAAGTGCTGCAACGGAAAATTCCCTCCGGTGCGTGGACATGGTGTCCCGCTGATATCATTAATCTGCCTGGCGGTACACGTCACAACGCATACGGTGTGGCCATCGTTAAAGGGGGAAAGGACGGGGAGTGTATGGATATTGTCCCCGTTGAGCGGCTGCGGTGGAGAGTGGGGAGCGGTTGGTGGGCGCAGCATGGTCGTCCGGCATCGCTTTCTAACGAAGTTATGCGGCATTTAAGTACATGGCCATCGAGTGTTCTGAAGGGCACGTTCGCCAAACGTTGTATTAAAGCGCCTACAAGCTCTGTACCGGCGGAACATTTGCTAAAGATTCTGAATAGTAGCACGTCCGTGCCCTTTGTGGAAGTGGTCACCGGATATGTGTGGTACATACAACTCGAAGACTTGCGTTGGGCGGTAATTAACTTTCAAATTGGCCTTTCTTTCTTGTTTGGGATCCATAAAAAAATTCTGTTTGTAGGATCCGCCTTTGGCGAAATTGCAAAAGGAATTTCTTGATTCCGTTCCGCGTATGATTTGCGAGCTGACGACACCGTTGGTCGACTGTGGTGTCAATGAGGAACTAAACGCCCTGCCGACGGAATTGTGGCGCGAGACGTTTTCCCATCTCGGGACCTGCACACAAAACCGGCTCCGTCTGGTCTGCGCCACGTGGGACTTGATTGTGGATTCGCCGTCGTTGACTGCTAACATTGTCGTCAGCAGCGCCGAATTCGATGCGAAACAACCCGACCGGTTCGTTTACTATTTGACGGCGCCTATTTTCAAATGTCTCCGCCCATCCTCACAGCGCCTCATTGTATGCGATCGACGGCGGTTACTAGCGGACACCGATGTGTTTAAAGTGCTGGATATGTTGCAGTATGTCGGACAGGAAACCAGCAATTGCGTTCGACTGAAAGCACTGTATTTGGTGGGTGTTCATTGCCGGCTGCGAATCGGTGCAGCGCGGTATGATGCCTGTGAAATTCATCAGCCTGGGACAGCAGCGCCGACGGCGGTGTATGTTGATGGTAACCGCAGCTTTTTCCGGCTCGACTACTTCATTACATCGTGCCGCCAAATTGCGTGTGATTACATCAACTTTGTGAACTGTTCTGTGCATCTTGATTATACCTTTTTCGATGATAAAACAGTATATCTGCACCTCAAAACCAACATCCATACGGCTGGCATGAAGGTGGATAGCGATTTCGGGTGTGCCATGTGGAGTGCGTTGGAAGCTGGTTTGCCGGTGTCGACAAGCACCGAACCCCCCCGGCTTGCTTCGTGGTTAACTGTAGTCAACGGCCTAGCAGCGAAATTCGGCACGGACTTTTATGACCGGGAAATGTGCAAGGTGAGCCTGAGCTAGATCCAGTACAGCATTATGTAACTTACGTTCTGAATTTAATGCAGAATTTTTTCAACAAAATGCGTATAAGAAGAACGCATCAAGTGCACATAAATTGCCAACATTCCGTTCGAAGCGAAAACAAACTGTTTATTCTTCTCCGATCGAACCTTCAGATCATAGAGGCACTTATTTGCGTTAAAACGCAGCTCCCAATGTTTTTATCCTTCACTAATTTGCATATAAATTATCATCAGCGCTTGGAAAGTTGAAAGGCCACTACCATAAGCCAGTATTAATCGTTTGCAGATGTTGTGTGTCAGCCACACAGCAGATCCGCGTCCTTCCTTACATTACCGCGAGAAACGGTGGTGCGTTGATGGCTGGAAGGAGATGCAGCTGAAGAACCTGTCGCGTGTTGCTTTGTGTTTCATTTCCGCAATGCAGAACAATTTCCTCTCCGAAGTCGTCCAACATATCCGTGTCAGGCCAGGACACCAGTAATTCTCGAAGTCTGATTCGGATTCGGAGGACTAGTAAAATATCGGCTGTGAATTGGTGTATGTGTCCTAGTTGTGCATTTTAAGTACCATATTTCGCCAATAACCAGCACGAGTACATCTTATGGCATGTCATTCTTCGTGGAGCCGTACAAATAAGACCACCAATGTTGCAGTAATGATTATGACATTTTCATTGGCATGCCAGCTGGAGCGGAAACATCTGAATGTATAGTTGTACGAATGGTTCACCTTTTATCTAAGAACTTTCTAGGTTCTTAATCAAAAGTTTTTTGTACGTATGCGATGGCGATGTGGCAAGCTTTTGTTAATGTTTAATCACATGAGCGATTTTGAAGCAGTTCGTTATCAGTAGTAAAGTCTGTAATCCACTCCGCTAGCAGTAGCTGAAAAGTTGCCATTGCATGAATTGTCCTGTAAACAATTTAACTGTCGGATTACGAAACATAAGCAGTCGTTTACGATTGTGTACTCCAGCATTATTTCTTGTATAAATTATATTTCATGGCTTCTAACGTGATCGTCTGCACAGAAATGATAATAGAAAATCAAATACGAGTAATACGTATAATAAAAAATCATGGGAAAGCAATTCACCTTTGAGAACTTGCTGTATAAACTGCACTGCCGTACATACGTGCACAACTAAGCAGGTTGATAGTGTCAATTTTACATTAATTTTGCTTATACCCTTACCCGACTTTACGTAACGTCCTTTCCACGCGATCGTCATGTTACGGGCCGCAAAAAGGAGGGTGAAGGCAAGCGCGAGTATGTGCGTACTAATTCGAAGAATTTGCTAATGATTTCCAAAGCACACACTTACTGCACATGTCGATGTCGGCAATAAACGACCGGTATATTATCCTCTAGGACGGGAAAACAAAATTGACTTCAAGACGTTCATTGCGCGCAGACCTCGCCCGCTGTAATCGATGCTCATATAAAGTATCATAACACCATTTAGGGTACTTAAGCTAATATTTTAGGACTTAGGTCACCCTGGAGTTGGACATTATAATGCCGTTACGCTGCATTTGATACTATTTACCCTGTATTTACAATGTCACCAAATTCTACTCGATAAGCGGAATCCGACTGCGTACTATCCATCTACACGGCGCCGGTCTTGGCATTCGCAGTTTAATGCTCACTGACGTAGGCGAGATCGTCTTTCGCTGACTTCTTCCTGGGCCACCGCAAGCCACGAAATTCCTAGGCACTGGATAATGATCTGGAATTTATTGTCGCATGCCGCAATTCCCTGTCCAATATCATTTTTTCAAAACTGATGAACTGAAAAGTTGAACCGGCGAATTCTTGGACTTTCTATGCCACGTGCTCTCAGTGGTTAGGCCAAACAGTGCTGAGCGCTGTTTTTTTGGGATATTTATGATATACAGTATATTTTTATATCGTTTTTATTTGACTCATCGTCAATTCCAGCTCTTTTACTGCTACTTCTATTTCATCTGCTACCTTACAGACTTTTCATTCAACTTTTATTGCAGTACTATTTTACGCGAATACACTGTACAGGAGGCGGCAAAGCATCCAATTGATCGGTTTGCGCTTCTACCATGACGGGCTTAGTGCTTATTTGCGTAAAACTTTTTATCACGGAATGTTGTGGAAGGAAGTACCCACTGGCGTCTCCGGAATCAAAACTAAAAACTTCTCCCGGGATGAGAGTCCGTTGAGCGATCAAGAACTGGCCCAGATCGTATAAGGTCGTAGGACGCGGGAAGAAGACACAGCCGAAGGGCGCAAACTCACGTCGCCGATTTGGACAGAACATATCAACGAAGAGGCCATCTTCTGCAATGTCCACTACACGTCCAAAGCGCATCCGCTGATCGCTACCCAAAACACTCACTCTTGTATCGAGCTTGTCGTTTGAACGCATGGTTGGAGATGCTTGTCACAAAATGGGAAACGAAGTTCAGCTGAAAATGGACACATACACACCAAAAAGCATTCGTACAGACCTTCAGTACATACACAATTAGCTAGCTGAAGGACTACGGTCACCAAAAGCGAGTTCAGGTTTAAAGAACTTGAATTTATAACGCGAACGTGCTATATAGTATTGTGAAAAGTTTTCTACATCCCGTTTCTGCAATGGCAGCTAACTTCCTTAGTAGGTTTCTTAGGTGTCTCAGGTTTCTTAGGGTTCTTAGGTTTCTTAGGTTTCTTAGGTTGCGTCGACATCAGTCTTATTTTCTTTCTTTATTGCAGCTTACCATTGCGTATTTTTTTCTCGCATAACGGACGCAGCCGTTTAACCGGATACAGCCAGAAAATTGGTTTACTTGTAAAAGTATTGTTGGTGTTAAGTATGAGTAGCCTTCGCCTTCGCCTTTTGAGCGGTACGGATTCGCTTCGCCTTCCAAAACATGAGCCTACTAATTGGCTTTTTTTACGTTATTCTGAGGTTTCTTGGGTTAAATTCCTAGGTAGTATTCTTAGATTGTATTGACATTTTCTCGGTTTCTTAGGTTTCTTAGTGTAAGCGATGGCTACACCACCGTTCACCTTCGTTCGGCTACGGCTACGCTACGCTGTCTGTGACGTGTCTCTCTTTTGATTGGCTGACGGCTAAAGCCGTTCATTGTTGGCGCTCTCGCCATGTGCGAGTGGGTGGCGCTTAATGCAGCCGAGAGCACACTGAATGTGGCTCTTCGAATTGTAAATCGTCATCCAATAAAGTTTGCTCATGCTGGTCGGATGCTGTGTGTTGGACATTTTTCCGTATACGGAGTGCCAAGTCGCTAGTGTTTCCTGCCTTTTTGGCATCGGCGTACTCGGTGATCTCTTTGGTTTCAACAATCTATCGCCCTGCTAGGAGGAATCGCTCGATCCGATTGTGCAACGCTGGATGGAAGAGACAGGCTGTGAACCCCCTGTTACACAGCAAAGGAAATTCCAGTTTGCATGGGATCGGCCATGGATCGATAAAGCAGTGGTGTCAATGAGGCTCGCCATTACCGACGAAACGAATCGAGCGGTATTGTTAGCTGCGCAACACCGTGACTCGGGCGCATGGCTGAATGCGTTGCCTGCACCAAATTTGCGTACGTTTTTGCGGGATGAAGAAGTACGAATCGGTGTGGCACTTCGTTTCGGACTTCCAGTAGTAAAAGCACGATTGCGTGAACTGCGGAAGCCATGTGGAGACGAATGGCCACCACGGTCTTTCTTGTACCAGCAGCAGAGGCAGATGGTCTAGACATACGGAACTAAATGCCGAAATAAAGCGGGCTTTGGAACATGCGGGGTATCCATGTCAAAGCGAGCCACTCGGACTGTCAGGCATAAACAACACGCGGCCAGACGGCATGACTCTCGTCCCGGTACGGGATGGTAAGGCGCTGGTATGGGACGCTACATGCTGGGACACGGTAGCCGCATCGCATGTCCGGGCAAGTGCGAGTGCATCCGGTAGTGTTGCGCATATGGCCGAAGACGTTAAACGCCGTAAATACGCTTACGTGGAAAGGATGGGTTACCTGTTTTACGCCCTGGCAGTCGAAACTTTTGGCACTTTCGGTTCGGATTTTATGGAGCTCATTCGTTTCGCTGGCAGAAAGATTCGCGACGTGACAGGGGAATCCCGTTCTGCTGCGTTTTTGAAGCAGAGATTAAGTCTAGCTGTAGTGAAAGGAAATGCCGCTGCTGTTTTGGGTACCTTGAATATGCGTCCTAGGATTTTTGATAGCAATAACGACTTTGGCTGTTTTTTTAACGTTTAAATTTGAATCATTTTAAGTAGTATTACGCGAATGCACTTTTTGTAACAATAATTGATGGCCTTTGTTTTTCCGTATCGTATAGCATAGTACGCTACACAAGGTCCTGTCAGTCTGGATCACTGTCCTGGATTCATCCTGAGTCCAATGTAATATTAGGTTTCTAAAGTTCTCAAGTTTCTTAGGTTTCTTAGGTTTTTTAGGTTTTTCAGGTTTCTTAGATTTCTTAGATTTCTTAGGTTTCTTAGGTGTCTCAGGTTTCTTAGGTTTCTCAGGTTTTTTAGATTTTTTAGGTTTCTCATTATAAGGTTCTTTGGTTTCTCAGGTTTTTTATGTTTCAAAAGTTTTCGTAGAATGATCTTTCTTAGGTTTTTTTACGCTTCAAGTAAGAAATGAAAGAAACGTCAGGTACCATATTAAGGCTAGGAAGCCTAAGAATACATAAGATTACCTAAGAATTCTAAAAATACATAAGAAACCTAAGAAACTGGCAACATATACCCGGAATGCCAAATCATCCAGCACAGAATAGCAGATCATTCAAGAACAGTACACCAAGCTATTAAGAGAGGGAACTTCTGGAATGGGGCAAAATGCTACTCGAGTAGCATAGTAGGATTGCTCTTTTTGCGCTGTACATAGCCACAGTACTGTGTTGACTTACTGTCCTGGATGATCTGCTGTTCTGTTGCTGGATGATTTGGCATTCCGGGTTCCGAATGTAAAGACAGTAAGTAAAGTCAGCAAAATCTACTCACAAGTTCGCCATGGATAGACCGGAGAGACAACAGGCTCCAGTACTGTACATCGATAGTCCATAGCGACTCACAGGCGCTGTACAGCTTAACAAACGAAACAAAGAAGGATTATTTATTTTTTAGGAAATTTATTTTAATGTAATTGAAATCCATTTCAGTGATTTAAAATTGAAATCAAAAGAGTAAAGAACTGCACTACTGCAGTGTTACTAGAGAGAAACCATTGCAGACTGCAGCGCAACTCTGCATAGCACAATGTTAAATCTCTACGAAGGCTCTGTGTAATGGGCAGCCACCACGGGAGGCGCTTAACCCATCGTACGGCGTTTATCAAGTGGTACGGCTAATGCGTACCGGCTCGAAAGGCGAAGGCGGAGGAGAAGGCGGAAGGCGAAGGCCACCCATACCTAGCCTATTGACGGTCCACGGGGCAAATTCGCCAAGTGAGGGAAGGCGAAATAAAAGAAGGAAATGCGTTCGGTCATAATGAAGGTAGAAAACTTTAAAAAAGGAAATCTCCGTGGTCGAGAAGGGGAACGCCTTGTTATTAAAAAAACTTAAACCAACCAATAATCACTACGCCGGCATTCATCCGTAGTGACCAGTTGTCCGTTAGCGCCACATGCGACGATAAATGGGATGGCAGAACGTAAGCCCATTCAAATGATCACTGTACTGAACATTATTAGAAAGGAGCCAATAAATTATACAATCCTAATAATTATGACATGAACAGGGAACTCTTCAGATGACATTGAGGCTGGGAAGTGAGTGAGGCGGGCTCATATCAGTTGGATGAGAAAATGCAGCGCCACACGCGACAGTTTCTCCACCTGCAAACCCTGAGGGCCGTCCACGCACCATTGCTTCCCGCGGTAATGCAGCGATGGACGCGGATCCGCCGTCTGCGTCGCACGCAAC